ACTGCTATTGCTACTACTACTACTACGACGACGACGACTACTACTACTACTACGACTACTAGCTACTGCTACTACTGCAGCTACGGCCATTGCCACCGCCACTGCCACTGGCGCCACCATCACCACGACCACGACCTCGACCACTACCACTAGACCGATAGCGACCACGACGACGGCGACTGCAACTGCCGCTGCCGCTGCCGCTGCTGCTGTTTTGCTGCATCTTCCACTATTCTCGTCATCCCCCCCATCGTACCACACTCTAAAAATGGAAAGTCGAGCATCGTCGTGGTAAATCGGCATCTATGGGATTTGCGCACAGTTACTCTTGAAATGAAGTCTCTTTAACTTTAGTGAAGACAAGAATCCCGAAGCAATGCTTACAATGCTTGCAGCCATTGCCGAAACAGCCGCTCGTCTGAAGACCGAGCTGCCACCCAAACATCCGCCCTGGAAACATCCCTGAATCCCTAAACGCTCAAGACTAACTGCTGAGCTTCAACACCCTGGATTGCAGGCATGCTACACACTGGCCATTGGATGGCTTGCTGGCAGTCCTCCTGAGTGGGCCGAACGTATGTCAGGCATGCACGGCTTCAGGTAATGAGTCTCGGAGAGCTAAACTAGTTTAATGTTCAGGGCTGGGGGTTGACCTTGGCCGAAGCCCTCTACGAAATGCAGTAACGAGAAGCCTGCCGGTGAAAACCCCCAATCCTATGCATACTCTACCCCCTTCCAAAGAGGCTGATGCCTTGCTGATTGCTTTCCTGCACCTTCACAACCCCTCTTGCTCGATTTTTTGCAGCAACCTCACCACCAGCACGGCAACACAACCACAAGCAACATTGCAGCTTCTACAATGTTGCATAGGTAAGAACCATCGAGCTTATGGCTTATGGGAAATGCTACATGTATGGCTGTGACTAGTACAGCTGCTGCTGTTATGACGACCTGCTACTATGACTGCTCTACTGCTACTGCTACTGCGACTGTTACTGATACTGTATCTGCTACTACTACTACTACTACTACTACCGCTGCTGCTGCTGCTACTACTTACTACGACTACTGCTACTACTCCTTCTGCGACCAACATCACCAGCACCACCACCCACCACCACAACCACCACTACTACTGATACTACTACCACCAATAATGATAACACTAATAAGTATAGTTATGCAAATACTAAAACCAATACTAATGCTGGTACCCTAAACCCTAAGTCAAAAACCGTAGAGTGTTGGGGGGTCAGCACGTCAGTCCTCAGCTTTTCTCCAACGAAATCCAACGCCGCAGCATCCTGGCTGACCGCCTGGGGCTGAGACCCTAATATAGGGTTTGTGTTTAGGATTTAGGGTTTAGGATTTAGGGTTTAGGGTTTAGGGTTTAGGGCTGTACTTGCTAGAATAGGGTTTCATGTGTAGGGTTTCGGTTTCGGGGTAGGGCTTAAGGCCTCAGTTGCTAGTATACGGTAGCTTGAAGGGTCCCTCGCATGGGTTACTATAAAGGTTCCACGGTACCGGGGCCTTCATGACTAGGCTACAGTAGGGTTTTGAAGAAATGATTGTATACTTGTAGTCGGGCTGGCACCCGATGGAAAGATATTGGAGATTCTTCAGGCTTCCACTCATTTCGGGGGTTGGGGCTTCATCGTAACTCATCAGCACTTCTTCAGGGCTGCGGCGACTGAGTGTTTCGGTGGGCGCAAGAGCCACGAGCCGGCGTGGTGATTGATTTAGTATATTATGGTATGGTACGTTATAGTATGGTATACTATAGTACACTATGTATATTATAGTATATTATGTATATATTTATTGGTGTGAAGGGTTCCCGTCCCTTGCTTCAGATTCTAAGATGCAGAGCTTCAAAGAAATCTCTTTTATCGGCCTCCCTGGACGGGCCGGAGACTCCAGGCCATGAAGCCGCAACCATGCTCATTCAGTCACTGCTTTCATGCCGCAGCGAATGCTGAATCCTGCACCTCCTAAACTCTAAACTCAACATCTTCGAAGGTCAACCGTTCTGCCTCGAGCACGAGCTGGTGATCTTCCCGGAGGTCTGGACCGAGAAACCTCGGCTCTGGCACGACTGTCGGGGGAGTGCAAAGTTCGGATGGGAGGGTGTTCTGGGAAGGTCGCCAAGTTTGGGTCGAGAACGCCGGTCACCCATGCCAAAAACACCGGACGAACTCTTTTGACTTGAACCTTTCTCGGGCAGAAAGGGGTCAACTCCAGTCCCAACCCCCCTTACTGCTCTCCCGGGCAGGGGGCTGGAATGACTGCCAGCGGCACCTGATGGCTTGGTACATGAAGTCCCTGTCACTCCACATGGCCTCATCACAGTGCAGCAGCGCACGCCAGTGCCTGGGCATCTAGGCTGTGCTGGGATAGCCCACACACAGGCTGCTGCGCGTGGGTTGTCAGAAACAGGACCAACGCCGGCACTCATATGACATCGCATGCTACCTGCAATCACAACCAGCCCCATAACAAAAACACTGTAGCTAGTCGCAAGGGGAAGCATCTCATCAATAACAAACGACAAACAACACTATCTTCCGCTACCATCATGGTCTTCAGAGCAAGAGAGGAAGTGAAAACCCTACATGATGCTAGATTGGAATATCATTCTTCCCAATCTCGAAACCCAAATATAGCACTCTCAAAACCAGTTGCTGTCACTGTCCGAACCCTTCGTCAAACATATCCCTTTGCTTCTGTAGGGCCGGGCGGACCGTTTCAGGTCGTTTCAGGTATCTCAGGTTGCTGGGAGTCTATGGTCGAGCTTGTTCGCAAAAACCCAAACCCGCTTGTCTGTAGGAGGCTTCATAATTACCTATACTATTTTGGGGGATTCCTTAATACACTTATTGTAAAATGGGCCCCAAAACCCTACTCTAACTATAGGCTTCCCTGACGCCGAGGCACTGTTGCACCGCCTCCAAGCACACCCCGGCATCACGGCGGAGGAAGGGCGCTGCGTAGCGGAGGGCATTCCAATTCCTGACGCATACTGGAGGCATTATGTCATCGCCATCTTCTCCGTGCGTTTGATCCCGATTAAGATATGGGAGGAAGTCGTAAGGCGTCAGGTTTTCGTGCATCAGGCCGAGTTGCTTCAGACACGTGCGCAAATCGAACAAAGGAAAAGCCTGAAAAAGCTGCAGTCCATCATCTTCCCATGCAATGCCGTCCACTCAGGAATCTACACTTACATTCTGCAGTTCTACATGATTGCTCAGACTTGTCTTTGTATGTTCACGGCCACTGTGGCTGAAAATGCATACCTCAGCAAACAGGCACAGAACCATTCCATGCAGGAGACACGAAGATGATTCTGCCCAGCTAGGCTATTTTCGGCGAGCCAAGAAGCAAGATTGGAAATATGATCCCTTCAGGCATGGCTACAGGAAGAACCCTCATGCCTCATGAATCCGGAATACCTCTCCAATCCTCACATCAGAGCCCCTGCAAGGGCGTGGGGGGTTCGAGCCCAGACTTCGACGACTCCCAAACCACTCAGTCAGTCGGTGAGCCGAAAGCCCAAAGAGCTGAGCGGCTGCTTGATGGCTGCTCGGATGAGCTCCCGATCCTCCCGGTGCTCAGCATCGCACACCTTTCAAGAACCAGAGTTCTGCCGGCTTCAGCGACGCAGAGTTGAAATGCCAAGGGCGTAGGATTCGGGGTTTAGGATGGCCTGAGCGCTTCAGTGATTCGGGGTTCTGAAAGCGAGAATAAGAAAACGGAGGTGGACAGCAGAAAGATGAGCATGCAAAGATGTAACTGCCTCCAGAGAGCAGAACAGCGCGCAGAGGCCAACAACAGTTCATGTTACGTTTAACATCTTTTCTGCTGCCATTACACCACGAAAGCGCAGAAGCCCAAAACTTTAAACCAAAAACTCCCTAAACCACCAAAGATGATTCGATCCTAAACCCTACAATATTCAAATGCCGAGAAGACCATAAGACAGTTTGGGGTTTAGGATTTAGTAGGGCTTTGGAGCTGAAGGGTTGTAGGGTTTAGGGCCAGGGGTTTTGGTTTGGAGCTTTAGGGATTATAGGGTTTAGAGTTTAAGGGTTTGGGCTCTAGGGCTCACGGGGTTTAGGGATAGGGTGTTTTGTTTTATAGGGTTCAGGGCTATGGATTTAGGCTTTAAATTTTAGTGTTTCGGGCTTAGAGTTTAGATAGATCAAGTTTCGGGACTAGATGGGGCTTGCAGAGTTCACTGGAAAGCGACAATGGGCCTTAGAGTCCGGGGCAACACAAAGCCAACCAGAACCCCTTAAAGCGAAGGAGTTCCTTCAAACTTAAAACTATGTCCCACAAGGGCTCCTGCAAGGGATCCTCAGACTCACGACTCAACCATCCCCTCTTGGTCCGAATGCCTCAAGGACCCGCAGATTCTGGGCAGCGGCCTGACGAGGCAACCGTTGCTGCAGCGAGCTGTGATTCATTTTCGCCCTTTCATTCCATGCCATTCCCGAAGGCTTGGTTTAGGGTTCCTCTAAGGTCGCGCGACTCTCGATCCGATCGGTGTGAGTCTCTGTTTGGAGCTTGCCTGCAACACATCCTGCGTCCTGCACGGCCTTGTGTCCTGCAACTACAGCTTCCGAGTACTGTTCTGGAACAGTAGTGCACTGAGCGACCAAAATCAAGGACAGCGCGAATTCGGGCATGCGTGGACAAAGAAGCTTCCGATTTCCGCAGAGGAAACTGTTGAAGTCATCCATCTCATCAGATGCATAGGACAGACACAGACTCCAAACCTCGTGGAGACAACAGCGTTCAAAAGTGGTACAGCAAGTCGAGTCCCGGCCTCAAGTATGAAGGTGGTGTCCTTAATCGGCGGGCAACTAACAGAGCACGCGAGATTTGTGCCCACAAGGAAACTACTGAAACCTTCTTTCTTGTCGACTGCCTGGAAGACGTGAAGTGGGCCGTAGGTTGATCCGGCAAGAAACGCTTTCACTGATAGACTGATAAACCCTAAACTCTAAACCCTAAACTCAGGGCTCATGGTACTTTCCCACCAGCGACACTTTGACACGCATTGCAGCCGAAGCTCGAGAGCCAGCTGCGGAGAGACGAATTCCAAACTGCAGCTCAAGGGCGGCAAGTCTGGACCCGAAAAATTCTACTAGCGCTTAAGGGTGAGCTTGTTTTGTATCAGAACCCACAAACACTTCAACTACTAAATGACCGCCCTTCCTACCTCCCCTCGCCAACACCACGAGATTCTGCACTATAAAGTTCAGAATTCATGGCCGTGGCTATCTAGAAGCTAGAGCCGAAAAACTTGCCACCAAGATGCAAGGCCGGAGAAATGAAAGGGCCGGAAGGCCTGAAACCCCTCAAACCGAAGTACCGAGCCCACTCGGATCTTCTGAAGAGCCCATGGGAGCAACGTGTGAATTCAACACGCAAATACCTGCAAAAACAGTGCTGTTGTCGGTGGTCACGCCACGTGGCCCCTGACGTTCCAGAACACCCACATCAACTGTCTCACATGTTATCAGACAAAGCTGAACGCCTCACACCTGCAATTCCAATCCCAGACCCGGAAGCAGAGAAAAGGCACCCAGATCCTTGATCATCCTTGAAGCATTCAGCCACAGACACCGAACTCCAAAATCCCTGCACCCGAAACCCTAATCCCCAAACCTAGTCCTTAAACCCTGATCCCTGCACCCTTTCTTCCAAAAACCCTGAACCCTACTCCCCAAGCCTCAATGACTCAACCCCCAACCCCTAAACCCTATAATCCAAGCCCCATCATGCGCAAAATCTCTAAACCCCATAGCCTCAAAATCCTTCCCTAAATCCTAAAACCCCTGAAACCCTAAACCCTCTGCAGGCCAGCCACGCCGTGGCATCGCCACGGATCGCCGCAAGTGCCACAGAACGAACTCCCCTGAGCTCCTGAAACACGAAGCTTCAGCAAGGTTTAGGGTTTAGGGTTTAGGGTTTAGGGTTGAGGGCTTTGGGTTTTTTTAGAGTTTAGACCCTTAGGGTTTAGGGCTCTAGGGGTTGGGACTTCCCCCCTGCACCAAAGTGGTAAGGTGTCGCTGCAGGAGCCGAAGCCCACCCTCCCAACCCAGACTACAAACCTTGGACGGGTTTAGTCTAAGGGCTAATAGGGACCTTTGTAGGTTATTGGGGTTAATATGGAGACTACCTGGCTATATAAGGGGTATATAAGGACTATACAATGGTCATTTAAGGTAGTGGGGTTAAGGGTCCCTATTAGGGGTCCCTCCTAAAGTCCTTAGATTTAGGGTTATCCACCCCCCAACCCCCCTAACAAGGGGGGAGAACAATGTTTTTGTGTCACCCCTTCCTATTTCTTGCTCGTTTGCAATCGAATATCCTTGTTGCAACGGTTTTGGAGAGCCTCTGGCAGGAAGTTCCGGGTGGGGGGGGCCCCTGAACTGCAGGCTCTCTGTTAAGGAGTCTAGCCGCTGTAGTTCCAAAGACGTTCAGCTGTCGATCACGAACATTCGAGTTCAGGGTATTGGGTCTAGGATAAGCACGATACCAGTTGAAAAGCCCGCAGTAGCCGTCTGTTTCAGCTTCTACGGGACATTGATGCGGAATGTAGTTCAGGAACACTCAGAACGTCATCGTCCTGGCTTGTGCCATCACAAGAAACCGCACAATCATCCTTGGCTTGGCCATTATTGAGACCCTTTGAACAATATCTGTAAAGAGGTTTCTCTTAGAATCTGTAGGGGAGAATATGAAGTTTACCAATGGCCTACCTGGGCCCACAAATGTGTACTTGTCGACTCCTCGCTCGCATGGCTCAAAGCTTGGCCAGACTGAAGGACTGCGGACAGCATGACCTCAAAGGGCTACTGCGGATGTATAGCTTGATATGAACGGGTCAGGCCTTTGCCGTGGCCAGAAACAGACAGATTCACTCCCTAGATTGTTCCTTCCCCGCCCTCGTGGCCTCGTGCTCTGCGCAGAGCTCTTTGGGAGCCACATCCAGCACCCTCCAATCGCACTCAACGGCGGCCCGCCAAGCCGCCAAGTCCATCGCGTACCTCAACTCACCAGAACATGGGGCAGAAGGAAGCACAGGCAAAGCTGAACGAAGAAACGCATGCAGCTGTTTACTCTTTTTGGGCTGCCGCATTCCTTCGAAGACCACTTCCGCCCAGACTTCCGACGGCATATGGAAGATTTGCACGGCCCGTTTGGGTTCAGCATACGCACTTCTGGACTCTGACTGCATTAGCTTCGTATGCCTTGGGCTGCCATGGTGAATGATGCCAGCTTGGCACACGGGTTGCAGCATGTGAATGGTACTTACATACAGACAAAAACACCGAAATTCGGAAATGCTTGGAGCAAAGTGCCTAGACCGAGTGCTCAACATTTCAATCTGGTCGCCGGACCTCGAGCAGAGGAAACGACAACCAGAAACGTTGCAGCATAGGAGCATTGCAGGCCCCATGTCACCTGTACTGCCAGCGGCATCCGCATCAGAAGAGCCATTGCCAGTGAAACCCCCGAAGCTGCATGGCTCGGACAGTTGTTGGACTAAGCTCGACCCAATTCACATTGCTTTTGCCCAGATGTCGAAGATGCGGTTCGCTGGGGTTTCGGATGGGTTTAGGGGTAGAGTACGGGTTGGACCCTTGCGCCCAAGAGATCAAGCACCCTACACCCCATAAGAAAAATATCACCCATGGGAGGTCCGGTCCTATTTAAATGGGCCCATTACGCGTTCCCATGCTGAGGCTGTGCACTGCTGGAGCTGAGAATGTACGGGGTTTTGGGGTTAGGGTTTACTGGGCCGGAGGGTAATTATGCCTTGATTTGCGGGAACCTTGATCAGTACGATGAACATGCTGTTATGTGCATTTCAAGAAGCAGGGGCAGCCCTCATCTCACAGCAAATACAAGACGCCCTCGGATAGGCACATGCCCCAAACAAAGACCCGGATTCTTGGACACTCAAAACCACAGTCCCTGAGCCCCGGTTGTTCACAAGCTCCACTGTTGACTGTGTCGTAATTGGTACATAGGCAAGGAAAGCAGTAGAGCCCACGCTCACTTGGGAACCAATACATCCCCCCGATATCAAGAAGAGACAGGCTGTCACATCTTCAGGCTTCTACAAAAACCATGCAAGTCACTCCAGTGCTTGTCTTTTGGTCATGCTCTTTCCAAGGCATCTTGCCGGAAAACCGAAGACAGCACAGAATCAAACAAAGTCCACAGCAATGCTTGCCGCATCATCGGGCGTGAACAAAACCACCGTCGGCCAGTAGCTGTCGCTGACAATTGGAACCAGCTTGCCGAATGGCTCCAGTCCCTCGAAGCACTGCATGGTACCCTCATCAAAGTTGAAGAGAATGGCAAGCTCAGTCTCTTCCGTCCAGAACTTCTTGGAGCCACGATCACGAACCCATCCTCCGTCATGAACTCTCTCGGCATATGCACACACATTGGTGGAGCTGCCGCCGTGGTACAAGCCCAGGAAGCCAGGATCATTCTCTGGATCCTGAGACTGATCAGCCTGCGCCGATCCAATACCAATTCCGAGTGCCCAACGTCGCTGATGGACCAAGACGCGCATAAGCATTCGACCGGACAAGGGCGGCTGTGACACCCCAAAGATCACTCCGGCAGGTGTTTGCCCTGGCTCGGGGCCGGGGTAGTCGAAGAAACTCACCCTTTGTCCCTCGCAGACTTCCATCTCTATCTCATCACCACGGGTCTGCCCCGAAACATACAAGGAGCTAGGGTAGTGCTCGAATTGGCAGCGGGTGCAGGAGGACGCCAAAGGCCCAGTGGCTTCTCCCAGGTCATACGCCCGCGAGATCCTGGGCAAGCGGGATTCAAAAACGTGGGAACCTCTGGCTCTCAGAGAATGACAACTATGGAAACTCAGGACAACTTGTACTTCTTGTCTATTGGGCTGCTAGATCATTCATCTGCACCTCTACGTCAGGCTTTCGTGCTCTGACATGTTGTATCTGTGGGCGGCGCTGAGGGCTTCGTTAGCTGCACAAGGTTGTTCAGCCCAGATACTAGGTGCGCAAGCTGCTCAGCTCGCGGCCCTCTGGAAGCTCTCTCACCTCAACTGCCGCCCGGGAGCACAACGAGGAGGTCCGTCTGCCCGCCTTGCCAGGCAAAGTGAGGCTCAAGCAGATCACAGGGCTTCCCAGCTTCCAAGCTTTAGGGTTTTTTAGGGTTTTTTAGGGTTTAGGGTTTAGGGTTTAGGGTTTAGCTTTAGGGTTTAAGGCTTCGGGATCAAAGCAGAGTAACAGACTGGTGGAAACGGCAATCGGGCACCGATAGCAGTAACGACCCCGGAAGCAACGCCGACGCCTCACAAACAGACTACTCATAAAATCACACTCATTGCAATACAAGAGATACTGCAGAACTGGCAATGAAAATATCAGTTCCTCAGTGTGCAGGGCTTCCTGCGCCTGCCATGCGAAACTCTGCACCTAAAGTAATAGGACCTGGACTGCCGTCATCGAGGACATCATGCAGGTTTCTGACGATCGATGACACAAACAAACCTTAACACCTCATCCCGACTCATCCCTGCTGCTCTCGCCTGCACAACTCCTTGAAGGCCACAGTACCTGTGGCCTTTATCCCCCGCCCGAGCTGTGAGATCCGACATGACTCATTTTTCAGACCGACCGGGCCGCAAAAACGGCAGAATGTGCAGACAGACGAGATTGCACCAGGTATTTTTTTCTTGCAGTAACATGCTCCACTCGAGTCCCCCAAGCGCCTGCCACGTCGCAGAGTTTCGTCTTGCGGCAGAAAGGCAAAGGTCTCAGATTTTTGCAACAGAAAATCTCTGAGTGGCTTGGCTTCTGAGGTGTCAATAAACGTTCCCTCCGAGTTTCTCCGTTCAGGACCGGAGCTTTGGGGCTTAGGCTCGCACGTTTTGGATTTCGGCGCAAGCTTGGGGCGGAGCTTCTGCTGTCACTGCCCCTGCGAGTGTCCACTGCTAACTAGGGGGGAAACATGCCTGCACCTGCCAGCATCAACTGAGAGTCGTCCGACGATTGAGTGGGAATCGGGGTCGGACATACTTCTATGGCAAGGAGCGTTGGGTGAACGCGTAGTCTCCGTTTTCAATTTCCCGTCATCGTGAGTTGAGAAGCCCCTGGGCAACAGGCGCCAAAATACTAACCCAACAACCCCAAACTCAAAGCGTAAAACCTAAACTCTCAACTTGAACCCTAAACGGCCCTAAACCCCAAACCCTTAAACCCTACACCCTAAACCCCAAACCCTGAATTCAAAACCCTACACCCTAAACCCCCGAGCCTTGAAGCTCTGACCCTGGAAGGCTGAACCCTGGGCCCTAAAACCCTCGAGCCAAAGGCGGCTTGGGCGCTCCACCTGACCGTGTGCCACCAACCTGCCACGGCGAGTCATAGGGTTTAGGGTTTAGGGTTTAGGGTTTAGGGTTTAGGCCTTGTACTAGACATAACGTCATTTTGCCATTTGTGGGGTGTAAACAAGGACTGCATGTTTGTGTAAAGTGTTAAATAGCATAATTGTCCGGGCCAAGGGACTACTAAAAGGGCTAGCCGAGATGCAGGGGTTGGAGAGGTTCTTCTGTGCCCCGAAGCTCAAACATGACCCTGCTGTTTCACAGATCTTGAGGACACAGAACTTGCCTTTCCAAACCTGGCGGGTCCCTTTTTCGACTGCCCTCACTCCCAAGTGAGAGCCTCCAGCTCGAAAAGGCGACGTTTGTTCGAGGCACTTCTACGAGGGATCTGATCTACGTATACGTCTTTTCGATGTTCAGCGTTGCAGTCGAAGAGGCGTTGGCAAAGAAAATAAAGCTAGTAGCAGCGACAACACTACACTAGGACGGGCGGCAAAGCAGCATTTACGTCTTGCACAGCATTCCGCGGGACCGGGCCTCAAAAGCCGAATCTGAAATTATCATCCAGAGTGTCCTGCAGCTGTAGCTATGTTCACCCCTGCTACTGCGTGATCGTGATGCCGCGAAGCTGGCACCAAGAGCACCAGGAACCTTGAACAATCTGGCCAAGTCTGGAATACTGTCTGCTGTATGTCGCGTCATCCCATACTCCGCCCGTGCACGTCCGGGCCAAATCCTGAAACGATACCTGGCCAATATAAATAGACTAAACCTCTGAACACAAAACCCCCAAACTACGTGGTAGCTTCCACAAATTAGGGTCCTCCCACAACCCTGCAAATTCATGTTTCTTCATTCTAGGGATCCCAAAAACCATCCCCTCGCGTTCGGAAACGGCCTCAGCCGGGCAACTTGCAACCCCCTCCAGGCGGATGCTGCGGCGCAGGCATCGTAGACTGTCGCTTCCGCACTCAAAGAGACATCTGTCTCCTGCTCGGTATGGGGTTTAGGGGCAGAGTGTTTGGTCTATGTGGGCTTTACGGTTTAGGTGTTCGACCTTGCAAAGTCAACGTAGACATTCGGGCGCAAGGTGTTGAGAACTGATTCGGGGTGGAGGTTGTAGAGTCCTTGGGTTAAGGGTTTAGGGTTTAAGTTTAGGGTTCAGGGTTTAGGGCTCAGGGAGTAGAGTTGGAGACCAGTACCTGCCTGGGAGCCTCCGAGCTACGGCTGCAAATTCGGATCCTGGATGCGGGCCAAGCCCTAAGGTGCTGAGAGATCTATCTAAGGACTCGTATGATCATAGGCAGCCGAATATTGTAACCCGTGGTATACTTAATTTAGGGGAGTCTCCATGTCTTTCAAAGCCTGGTGCCGGGCGGAAGAGGCGGTCGGCGGTCAGGGATCAGGAGTAACCCCCAGAGGAAACCCCTATATAGCCCATATAGTTCCTAACTCAAATCGTATCATGGTCCTTGCGAAAACGTTGTGAGACCCGAACCTAATCATCTGGCTGAGCGTGACTATTACTGCATTCAGGCTGAAGCCTTTGCGGTTTGAAGAGCGCTTTTGACCAAACCGGACAGATGGGTCAAGTGCAGAAACGGCAAAAACGGGGTTACTAGCATTCCTCGCCATCGCCACAGTCCCCTCTGAAACCATCGCAGGGAAGGCTAAAGACACATGGGGCGTCCGATGTGTTTGAAGATGGGAGGACTGCAGGAGAGATTGGGCTGGACCATGAACTAAGGCAGGTTTATTGTAAGAGCTACTGATTGCAAAAATCTGCTCTGCATACCTACTCGCGAGGTCTTGAAGAGTGGGTATAGCCATCCTACAGATCAAAATCGCAATTCATAAATCAGGGTCGGCAGAAGTTTCTTGAAGAGGCTTCTGCGTTCAAGTCGCACTGCCATCCACCGTGGTGAAGTGGTAGGAGACTCTTTCCTGGCCAGCTGGCAACATCATGGTCAAAGGCTGCATTGCCACGCAATGACGATGACCCTTTGAGGTATATGAGTAGGGCTGGGGTGAGCTTGAAGAAACCCCGAGAAACATGCTGCAAATGCGTGAAAACTGTCCTTTCCACTGCCTCAAGTCAAGGCGGGGGGAACGATTGTCTATTTAACGATCAACTCCCTCCTCCCTCCGCCTCCTCCACCTCCACCACCGGCCTCAGCCTCCAGCTCCGCCCTTTTCGGCTCCTCCCCATCTGACGAAAACCACACGCTCCCGACGGCGTCGATGAGAGGATGGAACACATGACGGCATGATGGCCATCGTTCTTTACTCAGCACATTGCACGAGAAGTTGCACCTCGCTGGCCGATTTTGGATCAAGAGCAGCGGCATCAACGGCATCGCCTGGTGGATGTTTTACCATCGAACTCCGGGGATTTGACATGCAGTCGAGAAATTCAAAAGCTAGCGGCTGACACATGTCTGGACTGGAAGGCTATGTGCTTGGGATCCCCGAACGGCAAGTTTTACATTCTCGAGCATCTTCCCATATGGAGGACGAGCACCAGATACGTCACAAGGGTAAACATGGAAGTGCAACCATTCCAGACGCGTGCTGAGGGAATTTGTACATGCTGTTATTCTTGGTATTGTTTTAATCATAACTATATTAGTAGTTTGACCTTGTTATTCTTGTAGTATGGTCACATCTCCACATCTGTGTGGAACTTACCTGCTCCTTCAAGCATGCAAGGTGATTGTCCCTCAACCCTAAACCCGAAACCCTACACCCTAAGCCCTGAACCCGAAACCAGGCATCCTATACCCCAAAACCCTCAACCCCAGCCCAGAACCTCCAAAACCGCTGAATCAAGGAATATATCTTCAATTATAACAGGATCCTTGATACAATTCAAGGTATATTCTTCAATGAAAGGTTTTTGGAGGTTCTAGGTGGACAACCCTAAGAGCCCGAAACCCTAAACCCGAAACCTTGAAACCCTGAACCCAAACCCGAAACCCGAAAAACCCTAAACCCCAAACCTTAAAACTCTGAACCTGAACCCCAAGCCCTAAACCCCAAACCTTAAAACCCTGAGAAGCCCTAAACCCCAAACCCTGAACCCTGAACCCCAAACCCCAAATCCCGAAGCTTCAAAGCCTTAAACTCTAACCCTAAACGTTGAACCCCAGTAGCACCAGAAGTGTTCAACCCTTATCGCGGAACCCTAAACTCTGAAAGCTATACCCTCAACCCCGGAGGTCGCACCAACAGAAGTCATTGCAGCAGCAGTAGAAGTGGCAATACAAGCAAATTAGAACCCAAAAGTCGGACTGGCAACCAACATGATGTTAACAAGTGTGAAGCAAGAACTGCTGCCAGGTCCCACAAGAAAGCTGTCACCTCTTAAATCCTGACAGTGAAACTTGTTTATCATGGCAAATTTCACAATTCCTTTTCTGGCAATTGCAATTCTGATCATTGCTGGTGTGAATATTGTTGTCTTTGTTACGAGAATTATGTCTTTAAAGCTATTGTTTACTAAATTTTTTGTCAGTTGTAGAATTATTGTTATGATGATGCTGATTTCCGTGCCCCGGGTGGCATGAGCTCGACGGACGCTCGGAGCGACGGGATACGAGATGATTCGAAGAAAAGTGCCTGAAGCTGTTTTCGGTTCGGAGTTTGGGTTTAGAGTTTGGGGTTCAGGGTTAGGCTGGCATCGGGAATGTGTGCATTTCAGAGTTGAGGGGTCAGAAGTTGGAAGAAGTTCCAGCACATGCATTCTTGGTCGACCCTCCCTGCACCAGGACGACTCCGACGCACGGAAAAAACCTTGGACATGGAATGGCTCCGTCAAGAAAGAAAGGAATGCTGCTTGAAAGCTCAAGTTGCGAGAAGGTCCAGATGGGTCTAGGCTGGGGGCTGGGCCCCGCAGGTGCTGAGCGGGATCGCCGACGGCGGGGTCCGCTGGAGGCGGAGGCAGCGTCGGACCGAGAACGGCCAGCAGCAGCAGGTCCGGACCCCGGATGCACATCCTGACATGTGTCGGCGGTGGAGGCGCAAAGGGCAGCCACGTCACAGGTCCGGGGCGACTGTGGAACGGCACAGGCTCGGGCAGAATGTAAAGTCCAGACAAAGGCCAGAGGTATGTCCGTGCTCCGTAGGGGAGCTCGGTGGCTTCCACGCGATGCTGATCCATGGAGGAGAGCCGCGCAGCGTCGCCAATGTGGATGCGACCCCAAACGCGACCGCCACAGCCCATCCACGCGCATCCCGAGGTCGTGCGATCGCGTCGAAGTTCCGCCGTCTTCGTGCCCTCCAGAACCAAATCCAGCCAATGGCGCTGAAACCGCAGCACACGATCTCCAAGCTGCGGAAGAAGCTGATTGGAAGAAGGGATTTGCTGCCGCAGCTTTGGGGACATGACTGCGGCGGAGATTGGTCGGGCCACTAGAAAGGCATGTCTCGAGCAGCTGGGCAGAGACGGCTGCGGTCTGTTGTTTGTGACAGGAACAAGCTTAGCGGGCCAGAGGCGACATGCCGGAGCAGACTGCAAGGTCAGCGACACGGAGAAAACAGAAGCGCGGCCGAACCGTGCTAGGAGCCGCGGCACCGCGGTAAGGACATATGTACAGCGACAACTGCTGCCTCGGAAACGTTCCTAAACTCAACAGAAGCAACAGCAAGCTCTAACAAGGAGATGCTCAGGTAATCGCTTTACGGTGGTGGAAAGCAAAGAAAAAGAAAGTGCCGGCTTTCAAAGACGTCCCAAAGTCCCTGGAAGCCTCTGCGAAACCATTGCAACGGGACATTTTGCTTTCGCAGAAGCAAAGAGCATTCTCGAAGGCCGTCGTGCTTGCTGCACCCGAGAAACGACTACTAGTACTCGTACTTACTGCTGCTGTTTCGAGTAGGAGTAGCAGCCAGTGCAAGCGACCAGTGTTCGTCGTGCTTCTTCCTTAGGAAGAGGACGAGGACGAAAAAGAGGAAGCCGACGCGGACTCAGAGCGAATTGCAGATCACATCGCCCCGCGTAAGCGGGCCACCAGTCCTTCAAAGCAAACTAAGGCATCAAATGAAGGCAAAAACAGCGAGCCGAGGCGCCAGCGTTTTGGTCATCCGCAGTTTTAATGCGGAGCGAATCAAACTTTTTTTGGTCGCACCGTGAGCAGCAACCTCCATCTGAACACGGAAATCACAATTTTCAAAACAGCTAGTGCACGAAGAACGGCCTTCCACACAGACAGCACTTCCCAGAGACTCCAATACTTCCTAAATAAGCTTAAGACGTGTTTCCTGTCCTATGTTTGAGAGTTAATATCTTAAATAAGCATGGTCCGTTTGCATCTTAATCTCTTTGAACGATCGTCCAAGTCAAACATATCTCCATATCCAGCTTCCAGGCTCGACCGATCTCATTTTTCACTTGTTGTGGCAGCTGGTTGCCAGCCAGAAATCGTTTCCCGACGAAAACGGCCAGACTGTGGCCGAAGCTCTCATCTCGATACGTCCAGTACTTCGCAGTGTCAGTCTGTGAGTAGATGGCCTTTGGTTTAATTCGAAACCATTTAAAGTCTTCCAAAATGCGACTCCAGGCCACACATAAGAAGAAGAAATGCATGGATCATCGTGTTTTGCGAAGCCACCCAAAGAAACTGCAGCGTCTCAAGCTGCTGTTGGATGGAGTGGAGTGGCTGTGCAAGAAGAGAGAAATTATAATCGTTTTGTTGGAGTTGAGAAATTCAAAAAAAAGTGAGAAGGCAGAGTCGAAAATTGGCCCGATGGTCCGATGCGGAAGACTCGTGCCTCTTCTGCCTTGATACGAAATTTCAGTGATTTCAATTTGCCCCGCAACTCAGCTCGAAGCATCGTTGGTACGAGCTTGGATGAGCAATTCTCAGAGTGTTTGGCTTTGTAAAAAGCATTGATCTCACAGAGAATTGTAAGACACTTGTTCCGGCAAGAATTACCGGACACAACGAACTCCATGATGAAGTGCAGCAACTCTCCAAAAAATCGCTGGCAAGTCGCACACATGTAAAAAGTCGATGTAGTCGTGCGGATCGAGGGGGCTGGGCCCCAGACCTTCGGGCGAAGGGGGGCTTAAGGGGGGCTTCAAGGGGGGCTTAAGGGGGGCTTCAAGGGGGGGCTTAAGGGTCACCCCCTTAAGGGGGTCTTAAGGGGGGGGGGGGAGGGAGGGGGGGGGGGGGGGGGG